TTTTGCTTCTTCGCAAGCTTGGTAAATTTAAAAAGTAACTCAGAACGTAATATAACATTATATTGCCTTCGATGTACAATATCGCTCATTCTACAATATTTGAATTATATTGAATTCTTTTTTTATATATAAAAATTCAATAATATAATATTATAATTTTAAGACAAAAAACAATATCTACTTCATCACTGCCATGGCATAATCGTATCCAGTGTTTTGCCTTTTTTCTCTTTTAACTCCCATTGCAGTTTCTGTTAAAATATCAACCGTTACAGCTGATAGATAATCATGACAGTCGAATTCTTTTCCAACTTCATTGCGAAGCCGTCTCACGAGATCTATACTATTCTCATAAAACAGAGGTACAAATGTCTTTAAAATACTCATGTGAAATGTGAGCGCTATTATTTTTCTATGTCTGTGCCACTTATCACCTTTTGTGATAAGCAAACCATCTCCAAGCCATGGTTCGAAGAATCTGTAATAAGGAGAAGAAAGATTTGAAACTATTGATATCTGTCTCTTAATATTGCTTTACGTAATATTGTACTACGTGAAGTACTTCAAGCATGAAATAATATATAATTTTATAAATATGTCGGCTGTAGGAGCTTAACGCGATGTTATTGCAAAAATTAATTTTTTCACTAATTATCGACGCAAAAGACATTGCGTTAGGCTACTATAAAATTACATATTGATTTCGAGAGCCGAGTAACATTCTTAATATTATATAATATATTAATTTTATTGTATATAATATATAAAAGCAATATAATAGATGTAGAATTTTTTGATTTTTTTTACTCATATTCCACAGCTTTCTCATTATGCGCAGGATTACTTAAAATTATTTCAATATCTTGTGGATCTGCCAGAAAGACTGCTACTTTATGTCCAATATATAGGCCTGCTACTAATCCATATATATCACGATATTTCAAAGTTATATTAAATATGTCTTCTGGAGACTTTGCAAGAGGTATTAGTAGGTGGCCTATGATAGGTAAGGATGGTGGACCTTGTGATAAAGAATATTTTAAATTAATATTAGATAAAATAATAATTCACCTAAAAATTTTTATTGAGTAACGAGAAAAGAAAAAATATTATTGCTTTTTAAATTAAGAAGTTTAATTTTTGTAGAATACATACCTGGTATTTTTTTAATGAGACGAACTGCTCTAGAATGCTCAATGAAATAGTACAATGCAATTAACGTTACGGCAAGTGCGGTCAGAAGCCAATAAGTTGTATCGTTAAAATACAATGTTGTCGTACTCATTGTGGTGATAAATTATTTTATTCTACGATATTACTGTGTCTTACGATATCGTATTACAATTTTGTTCTGCGATAACGGTGATATGTTATTTTTCGTATAACGCTATAATAAGTAATATACTCACTTTAGGATATTATAAAAAAATTTCTTTTATAGTTTTTTAATATAAAATATTTTATTTCTTATCGGCAATCATGAATGTATCAAAGAGTTTTGCAGCTTGTACAACAGCAGTTTTTATACGTTTAATTTATTTGCAACGATATGTGACAATAGTTGTCGAAGAGTAACACTCGATGACTGTAATAAAGTATTACTTTCGGGAAGTTATACGAATATATATATATATATATATATATATATATATACGAATATATATATATATATACGAATATATATATATATATACGAATATATATATATATACGAATATATATATATATATATATATATTCGTTAACTTTTGTACTGCCTAGAATCATCAGAATGAATTACGTCGCACGGACCTTATTAAGTCCCGTGCGTTAATAATTATTCGGCACGTAGGCGTGCGAACTGACTTTCGGACTTCCGGGTCCCGCGTGTCGCCCGATATCATCGCGTCGGGTCGTCTCAAAGGCGCGGAACAATAACAACGCGCCGCGTCTCGGCCGTAAATACGCGGCATTATATTGTTCGAATCGAATTACGGCCTCGCTTATTTGTATTTCGGCGTCACTAATACGGAGTTCACTCCATAGTATATCGAAAGAATATTGATTTTTCTTTCTTGACCTAACATTTTACTCAAGCTTTTATACAATTATTTTTCTGTCTATCTTCGTTCATCATTGTTCAAATATATTTAATGCTTGTTACATTTGAGCGATTTCAAATAGCCTCTCTCGAATTCCGTCCTCTCTCCCGTCCTCTCTCCCCCCTCTACCCCCTGACGATCTGAGCGAGTCGATTATCGCCGTCGCGGAAATTTTCGGGATAATTTACTGATTATAAAGGTCATCTGTCGATTTGTAAATTTTCAGAGTGGCGCGAATCTCGCGCCCAATTAAGCATATTTTTCGTGTTTTCGCGAATTTCCCGCTTTCCGCGCCGAAGGTGTGCCGTCGGCCACTTACATCGGCCCTATTTCTCGGATCCGACGGACTAATATCAAAACAACGGTTACAATATATATATATATATATATATATATATATATATATATATCGTAACAAATATATATATATATATATATACAATGTATATATATATATATATATATATATATATATATATATATATATACAATGTACAATATATATATATATATATATATCGATCCGACGGACTAATATCAAAACAACGGTTACAATATATATATATCGATCCGACGGACTAATATCAAATACGGTTACAATATATATATATATATATATATATATATATATGTCTAAAGGCAGTTTTGACGACATTTTGCAGTATAATTTGGCAGTTTTGACGACTATTGGCAGTTTTCACGACCGTCGTCAAAGGCACCGCGATATAAAGGCAGTTTTAACGACAGTCGTCAAATCTACCTTTATATGGCTGTATGCCTATATATATATATATACATTCAGTAAACAATGTAGAAAAATGCTTGGTTAAAATATTTTCATATTTAAATGTTGTTATATTATGTATATCTGTGTTTTACATGTTGTACTGTTTAAAGCAATTAATAATTATATATGGTGATTTTTTGCACGTAAAATCTCACTGTCGTGACATGAAATTTTAAGCGCCAAAGAATATAGTACAATTATTAAATGTTTACGTACAGTATATTATACGTAAAACAACTATACAACAAAATAAAACTGCTTATAAATATATAATAGTTACTTCAATAATACAAAACGTTCTTCTACGTGGTTTACTATGCATATAGTATAAATATTTATATAAAGGTAGATATGACGACAGTCGTTAAAACTGCGTTTGTACTGCGATATGTTTGACGACGGTCGCGAAAACTGCCAACAGTCGTCAAAACTGCCTAGTTATACTTGAGAACGTTGTCAAAACTGCCTTTGGATAAATATATATTATATTATATTATATGTATACATATATGTATACTCTGCACATATGACAGGAAGCTTAATTTTACATATATCATTAATTTAATATCTTATTAGAGATATTTAGTTCTAAACATATTTAAAAGTTTACGAGATTTTGGTCTTTTCTTCATTTCGCAATAGCATTGGGTAAATATTTTTTGTTATAAAAGAATGTGCACATTTAATAATGTAACAAATTCTTAAATGTTTATGTCATAAGATATACATTATAATTAGGAACGAATATTTTTTAATGTTTATTTAGTTTTTAATACAAGAGTATGTGCGACAAGCCTAAAAAGTTTTTTCAAATCATTAATCAATCTTTTTTACTTACAGTGCATCCGTTACCCTAGGAATAATGCAATGTTAAATCTATGCATGCGTATATTTACCAGTGCTGAATATGACTAGAGTGTAACTAGAGTATGATATAATATTTTTAAATATCATGTCTCCTTACCTTTTTGTCCTTTCAATCTAAGGAAAGACTGAAGTGTGACGATGACAATTATACTGATAAGTTTGCTGTAGAAACAAGGTTTAAATGTCACATTCTCTATTAATTTTGTTTTTTTATTTTAAACAGCCCAAAGAACTTGATGGATACTAATTTGCAAGTCATATATCCAGTTTACATCAAATGTTAGGGAAGAATCCATTACAAAACATGAGAATCTTTTAAGGGAGAACTTAATATTATTGTATCCACTGATAGAATCTTGTGACCTGTAATAAAAAGATCATCGAATGACCATTTGAAAATATTATATACTGTAATTGCACTAGTCATACCCAGTATACCCAGATATTGTGTCGCATAGATTCAACATAGCATTATTTCTAGTAATGATTGCGCTATAAGTAAAAAAGATTGATTAAAAATTTTAAGGCTTGTTGCATATATACATACTCTTGCATTAAAAACTATAAATATACAACAAAAGTTATTCGTTTTTAATTATAATGCATCTTATTACATTTACATATTTAAGAATTTGTTACGTTACTAAATGATTTTTCCTCAGCGAAAATATCGAGAAAGGTCATCATTTTTTTATTGTTCCCAACTTTTGAAATCATGTATCTTTGTAACTAACAATAAGCTTTAAATTAAAATTCTATTAAAGTAAACTTTACCTAAAATTAACTAAAAAATGTAGTTTTGTTAATAATTTATTTTTTACATTTATTTTTTAATTTACAAAAAATCTTCTATTTTCAATCGTTTATAACACAAAAATTATTAGTGCCTGGACATTTTCGCTGAGGAAAAATCGTTTCCAAATCGCCTCAGGAATCTCCTATTAACGTGTGATACGGTAGGTCTGGGACACCCTGTATATACACCCACATATATATAATATATTGTACAATATATATATATTTGTCTAAAGGTAGTTTTGACGACATCTTGAAGTATAAGTTGGCAGTTTTGACGACTATTGGCAGTTTTCACGACTGTCGTCAAAGACATCGCGGTATATATAAAGGCATTCTTAATGATCATATGCACTTTTTTAAATATGCATGTAGCTGCATTTAATTTAAAAAATAGTAATATTTTTTTTTCTATTATAAATATATATAGAGAGGAGTAAAAATATTTATATTACCATTCAAAGCTTTAATATTTATTTCAATGCTTTTCCTTACAAAAGATTAATTTAAAGCTTAGTCTACAATAGAGTCGTAAATCATAATGGCTCCTGCACACCAGCGCGATGACGCGACACGCGATGCGCGATATCCAATGAGCGTGCAGCTTTTCCGCATGTCTAGTCTATATCGTCTATATACGATTTCCGCAAACTCGTTTAGAACATCAATATCATCATGTAGATGAGCAATACATATATTGCAATCGAGTTATTTTATATTAATAGATCGTATTTTTATGTAAGTGTATAATTGATTATGATTATGTAAGTGTATAGCCATTATCTTTTGATATTCGCATTCACACTCTTTTTGTGATATATCATTAGGTTAAAAATAAAATAATATGTTAACCTCATAACCTAACCATACGGATGGCTCGATGACGGAATAAATATTATATTCTCGATTTTGTTTCTGCGCATATTTGCATTTGTTGCAGTTGTTTATACACACACACAAAATGTTTATATTAATATTTGCTAAAGGACGTTATACTGTGTGTTCAAAAAAGAAAAAAGTAAAAAAATCTCACATTATCGCAGTTCATAGTGAGTATATGTATTAATATATAATATCTATAATAACCCTTTCCAGAATTATAAAAAAATTATTCAGAGAATATGATTTGATATTGTCTTGCATATCTTTTGCATTTTTTATATACATTTGTGTACATTTTTATAAACAGATTTTTTTTATTTTGCAATATTTATGTACAGTATTGTGGTATCTAAAATTTTATAAAATTATATTTATTTTTAAATATATTTATACACATGTATGTTATTCACTGTCATTCTACAGATATATTGTAATATTATTTATGCAAAAATAATATTGAAAAATATCTATGCAATAATATTGCATAGCAATATATGTGTATAATGTGTCCATTTTTTATTTTCTTTTTTATGTATAAATTTCAGCAAATAAATCTGTTTTACAAGAAATTGCAGACAATTTGAATAAAGCAATTCCAGCTATAGAATTATTAAATATTTCATCAGGTAATGTTAGAATATATGCATTATTTATATATATACATATATATTAATTTAAAAAATTTATTCAAAATTATACTTATTTAATATATGTACAATAAAATATTATTCAAATTTCATTTCTTAGATGTATCGCTAACTTCTGATACTAATAACACATCAAATGATATATCAAATATGCCAAATTCGAATAAGAGTGAAGATATTTGCGCATCATCGAATGATTCCAATAATATTGAACAATGCACTAAAAGTGACAAAATTGGTAACAGTTTACCGCTGTTTGATATAACACACAGCAATGATAAAAATCCTACATTTTCGTCTAAAAATGTTCCTACTCTCTCTAGTGATGGCAGTCCCAATAAAGTAGTTAATAATAAAATAGCTAATGATAACATGATAAATGGTAAGTCTTTGATATGTTTAATCTATTTGTATACATAATATGTATTGTGCAATTATGTAAATATTTTTTAAATTATAGTTATATTTATTTTTTATAAATTACAAAACTAAATTAAAAATTAATAAAAATAATCTAGTAAATTTTGTTTTTCTATAAATTATGTTTGCGATACAATATTTTATATACATATTTTTTAACTTATTTAATTATTTTTCAAATGCATTATTAACTGCAGATACAAATGCCACATTAAATATTAATACATCGGATATGAATACAAAAAATATTTGTACATTAGTTGATAAAAACTGTGATATATAATGCAACGTGTGTGATAAAAGTGAATAATACAATGCTTTGTGATGATGCAAGTGCGAATAATGAAATTAAAGATCGTGCATATTTGCATAACGATAATCCTATTACCAATAAAAATTCTAATGAATTAACTAATAATATCAATATAATGAATGGTAAGATTTCTGCATATATCTAATTGTATATGTAAGACATTTTAAATACATTCAATGTATATTTATTAGACATTTTCTTTTTTATGATAATTGTACGCATTACTTTTTATAAAATATTTACAAAATGAGTATTATGTACGTACTTTTAATAAATTGTTATCAGAATAAATAATAAATTGTTATCAAAAACAGATAAAGGGGTTAAGGATATGGAATCTTAATTGTGAAAAGAATAGATATTTTTAAATGTTGGTGTATGATTTTGAAGAATTTATTTATTTATAACCAAAACGCCAAACGTTTTGATTCAATTCTGATTCTTTTCTTTATCAATAGCAGTACAAGAAACTAAAATACACAAATATCATAAAGCAGATTAAATGTACAAATATTAAAGTTGCAGTGGATACAGCATGTCAGAGATATAAAAAGGTGTCATAAAATCAAATCAGCAATGATTTATGCAATAGCAGATATAAAATGGCTGTAAAAATATATAATAACTAAAAAGGTTAATTATTTTAAAATTAATAAAGATGAACTATTTTAAAACTAATAAAGAGAGCAAACAAAGTCAACATGTGCAGGTATTCAAGCAAGAAAAATCAGCTCTTAGTCGTTTCATTTTACAAGTTATTAGTTTGATATTACAATCTTTTTTTAGCTTTCTAATTTGCATATTGCATAGACTTAATTATTACGTAACTGCTTTTAGTATTAATTCTCTATTGTGCTCTTTGTTATTAATAACTTAGTTATATGAGATATTGATTTTATGGATCTGTGTGTGAATTGCACAGAGTTGAAATATTTGGCATTTTATTTATAAATAAAAGTAAATTATATACAATTGATACCAATATCTGCATTAGTCTTTTTTTTTAATTATACATTTTTCTTTTCAGATTCATCATTCATTGATACTGATGCTATATTAGATATTAATACAATATTAAACATTGATACATTAAATGTAAATTCGAATATAGAAAATGTTTGCACGTTTTTTGATATGGAGCAATGCAGCATGGATGATAAAAATGATAATATAAGATCTTGCGATGCAAATAAAATTAAAGACCTTGCGCATTTACCTAAAGATATTTCTACTATTGACAAAAATTGCAATAAATTACTTAATACTAACAACATAATAAATGGTAAGATTTCAGCATATGTATACTGAATATGACTATATACTATTTAAAACAACATTTTAAATATATTTTGCATATTACTTATATTTACAATAAAAATATACATACTCTATAAATTTTTATCAAAAATGAATATAAAAAAAATTCAAAGATGTAGTATCTAAATAAAGTAAAAATATCAATTGGAAGCAATAGTTATTGGTACATTAAGTTTTGAAAATCTTATTTTTATTTTTATTTCTAGATTCATCATTAATTAATGCTGCTGTATTACCCATTGATACTACATTAAATGTTAATGCATCAAATATAAATTCGAATATAGATGATATTTGTTCATTATATGACAAAAACGATATTGAACAATGCAACATATGTGATAGAAATGATATTTTATATGACAAAAACGCCTGTGATATTGAGCAATGCAATATAACTGATAGAAATGATATTGTATATGACAAAAATGCCTGTGATATTAAGATATGCAACATAAGTGATAAAAATGATATTAATATAACGCTTTGTGATGCAAATATAAAGGCAATCGATAAGATTAAGACTATAAAAATTATATCCAATGTAGAATTTAATAATACTTATAAAATTATTGACGAAGGAAATATTTTAAATAAGACTTGCGTCATGGATAATAACAGTTTAAATACTATGTTGGTAGATTTTGCTCCACTTGCAGAATCTACATTAACAAAAGAAAAATCAACATCAGAATGTATGAGTATTAATGCTAATATTGAGTCTGATAATTCTCTTACATCTGAGCGTAATATGGATGACAGTTTCCACACATCAGATTGTTCTGTATCAGAAGATTCAGATGAAGATAAACTTAGCGATAATACAAATCATACAAGTATAAATAAAAGTAAATTAAATAAAAGTAAATTAAATTTAACAAGTTCATTAAATTTATCTAAAGTAAATATATGTGACGATAAAGATATGTACGTTGAAACATCTGATAATCGCAAATTAAAGTTGAGTATGTGTCCATACTGTAAAAAATTGCAATCACAATTTGCAAGGCATTTAGAATCAATACACAATACTGAAGAAGATGTAAAAAAGTTTTGTTTCTTACCTAAAGGTAAATAATTATATATTTTTAATATCTAAATTTTATCATTTTTAATAATCTAAATTTTATCAAAGTAGTAGATTAAGGACTAATCGGAGCTAGGAAACGTAAGAATAAGCGTCGAAATTTCTAGAAATGCTAGAATTTCGACGCTTATTACGTTGCGTTTCTTAGCTTCAATTGGCCCTCAATCTGTTACTTTTATATTTACTATTGAAGCCCTTTGCAATTTCCTAAATTTTATCATTTTTATTTTTTTACAAATTTTAGGTAACCCAGAACGGAAAAAAATTATTGCTATAATTAGACGAACAGGAAATTTTGTATATAATACAGATCCTAACGTTAATAAAGGAAATTTAATTGTATGTCGTCGTCCGGCAAAAAAATTAAACAAGCAAGCGGTCGATTTTATTCCATGTGCAAAATGTAAAGGATACTTTTCTAAGAATAACATTCGACATCATTTTAAGTTATGTACACAAAAGACTGAGTCTCGTCAAAGAAATGTAAAAGTATTAGGACGCACAGTAGCTTGCCGTATACATTATAGTGCAAGTACAGTATTAAAAAGACTAGTATTTCCAGTGACGAGAGAAGATACTATAACTCAGCTTATTAGATATGATGAGTTATTAATTGCTTATGGAAATAAAATGTGTCTAAAGTATCGTCTTCAACACCAACATGACATGATTAGAGCACGATTAAGACTACTAGGACGATTTCTGGCTACTATGAAGGAAATTGATAATACTGTGGTAGATTTTACTTCAATATATAATCCAAAGAGATATGATTATTGTGTGAAAGCTGTTAATAATCTTGCACAATTTGATGAAACAACATGGACATACAAGGTATCTTCTGTAGCATCATCGTTAGGAACTCTCATAAAGCAAGTTGGACAAATTTTAAGGAGCATATGCATAAAAAGACAAGAACTCGAGAATCAAGTTATAGTAGAAAATTTTTTAAAATTATTTGAAGAAGATTATCCTATCAGCGTAAACAAAGTTGTACATGAAACTCAAGGCGTCGAATGAGACAAAGAAACATAGTTTTACCGTCTATAGATGATATTAAAATATTGAATTCTTATTTGAAAGATGAACGTACGAATGCTCTAAAATTATTACAAAACGATGGATTTTCAATTCAAACGTGGCGAAGACTAGCTGAAACGACATTAGTGTCTACCATGATGTTCAATAGAAGACGTGCTGGCGAATTAGAACGCATTTTAATAGAAGATTTAAAAAATCCTGCGGCAATTTCAAAAGACGAAGCACCTGAGTTACAAAAATCCTTATCGAAATATGTGCGTGTAACAATACGTGGAAAATTAGCAAGAACAGTTCCCGTTTTACTTCATGAGGAATTATTGTCATGTATACAAATGATCGTCAAGTATCGTAAACAAGCTAGTGTTCCCGTAGAAAATCCTTATGTGTTTGGTATAAACTCAACTGATAAAAGAAGACACAAATATTTAAGAGCATGTGTCCTAATGCGCAAATTTTCTGTAGCCTCTGGAGCAGAGATACCAACTTCTCTACGAGGTACAACATTACGAAAACACATTGCTACAATGTGCATTACATTAGATGTATCTGATAATCAAGTTAGTGATTTGGCAAACTTCATGGGCCATCATGAAAAAATACATAGATCACATTATAGGCAATCTGTTATCACAAAAGATTTGGCTATATCACGATTGTTAAAATACGCTCAAGGAGAAGAGACATCCGATGAAAGCAATGAAAGTCAAGAAGATGATAACATAGAATCAGATAATGAACTTAACACAAATATATGTTTAAAAACTACTAATACGTTACCTATATCAAAAAATATAAAAAAATTTCAACAATTTAGAAATGGCGATCAAATGAATAATATATTAGAAAAAAAGAAGAGAAAAGGTATGTTTAAATATATATTTACATTTAATACAGATTCCAAATGTATGTATACATATATATAACCTTTGAAATATATTTATACTGCTTATTAATACAAGTATATAATGAGATAAATAATTAATTAATGAAAGGCTCGTATAATTTAACAAAATTAAACAAATCATATATAGTAGGCCAACTGAACGAGCAAATAAATAAGGTGTAAAAATTTTTATTAATAGTTAAATAATTAAATTAACATTCCGTTACAGAATCGATATAAATTGTAAACGTTTCGACTGCACTACAGTCTTTATCAATACATAAAAGTTAAATATTAAAATACAAAGTTAAATGTTAAAAATACAAAGTTAGTTAAATATTAAAATATAAAATTGAAACGATTCTTCGCTGTTGACCAATAGATATGCAAGGCGATTGGTCTGAGATGCCAAGTTATGCGACATTTGAGCATGATTATCGTTTTAACAAGTCCTTTTCCCCGATATTTCAAGTGTGTGTTGCGAAGTCTGAATACCAAATGGTAAGAGATAAATAATAATATGGTATCTATAATTAACATAAAAAGCATTGGATATAGGCATATGTTATAATATTGATATTTTATAGTGCATTCCTTCGATTCTACAAAGAAAATTAAAAAAAAATCAAAAAAGGAAACAGTTTATGATAATAAAAATGTGATAGAATCTAACGATGAATATGAAGATGACGATGAATATACAGATTTAAGTAAAAATAGTTCAAGTAATCAATCTACAAGAATATTAAAAAAACCGGAGAAATGCTTAGCAGGAAAGATAGTATAAATAGTAGTACAGAAAAAAGAAAGAAGAGAAGTATGTTTAAATAATGTTTATATATAATACATTGGTATAATTTATTCTTGATATAATTGTATATAAAATTTGCTTATAAGTATATTAGTACTTATAAGCAAATTTACTAACATAATCTTCATATTTCAGTATCTCCTTTTGGTCCTAAAAGAAGACAAGCTAATAAAATCCGATGGACTGATAATGAACGCGAAGCGGTCTTATCCTCATTTTCAGTCAATATAAAAAATAATAAATTGCCATCTTTTAGTCAAATAAATGAAATAAAAGTCAAGTATCCTATATTGAAAAACCGCACAAACGCTCAAATAAAATCTTGGATTAGTAATCAAATAAAAACAAAAAGTTAATTATTTTAAAGGTATTATTATATATATTTAAAAGTATAACTATTCTAAAAATTTTATACGTTCAATACAAAAAGACAAAACAATATTGAATGTTTTGTTTTTTTTTATTTTATTATATTGAAGAAGAAAATTACTATATTTAAGTTCTGATATATTTTACTTAGATACAAATTTAAAATATATTACAAAAATTCTTTGAAAATGATGAAGAGTAGATTCATATTAAGACATATGTATTATTTAAAAGAAAGAAATTATATAGAAATTAAGATTTCAGTAATTATATAAATATATTGGATTGGATGTTTCGTTTTGTTTCTTTAATTTTTTATATTCAGGAAGAGAATTACTATATTTGAGTTTTGTTTTGCTTAGATACATTTTATTATATTCAAGAAGAAAATTACTATAAATTTTGTTATATTTTGCTTAGATATAAATCTAAGATGTATCACAAGAATTCTCTAAAAAAGATAAAGATTGATTTAATATTAAGACATGTATTCATTAAAATAAAGAACTTATATAGAAATTAAGATCTCGGTAATTATAAAATACATATAAAGCAATATATTCAGTGCATTATTAACTATAAACGTTATGCGTATTTGTGATTATATATGTTATATAATGTGATTTATATGTATACCATTCAGAATTAAATTAAAAAGATTATTACTCAATATAATACTAGAAATGTTCTCAATAAATTAAGAAATAATAATAAATATGATATTTTTTATTCCAAGCAATCTAATCGCCCATTAGTGAATAGAACATGCAATACTAAATTAGTATCGCATATACGTATAATTCAAAAACAGGACGTATATGAACGTAGCCTATAATTGGGTCCTTAAAAAATTTTAAATCTTTATATCTCAAAAATTACTACTTTCCTTAAAAACATCTAAATCCTTACATCTCAAAAACTACTGCACAAATTCGTTGTAAAGTATAATTGTAAATACTTTTATTTTTTAATTTTACAAAAACCTTTTTCCTATGGTGTTTTGAGTCGCAAGTTTCAACATACACTGGAATATGTTAATAATTTAAGACACATTTTCCTAATTATATATTTAACAAAAATTATTAAATTATTATAGTTTAATTAATTAACTTCAGATTCTTTATAATAAAATAGTTACTTAAAAAAAAATAAAAATTATATACATATATCATAAACTAATATGTGAAAATATCCAATGCATAAAGAAATTAAAAATTTTTCTGTCACGTAAAACAATCAAATTAAGTAAAAATATTAAATTTTGCTTATATACTAAAAATTCTCTATTGTGAATTTTTCTTTATACTACTATTTCGCATATAAGTCTGATTTAATTTTTCCTACATAGGACATTAGTTGGTATAATATAAATCCGATTTAATTGTCTTATTACATATATTGTAGTAACAGATGTAATGTTCACATTCCTGTAATTTGTGCAGAGTATATATTGTATATGTATATAATATGTATACATGTGTATATATGTATAATATAATATAATATATATATATATCTAAGGGCAGTTTTGACGACATTTTGAAGTGTAATTTGGCAGTTTTGACGACTATTGGCAGTTTTCACGACAGTCGTCAAATCTACCTTTATATGGCTGTATGCCTATATATATATATATATATACATTCAGTAAACAATGTAGAAAAATGCTTGGTTAAAATATTTTCATATTTAAATGTTGTTATATTATGTATATCTGTGTTTTACATATTGTACTGTTTAAAGCAATTAATAATTATATATGGTGTTTTTTTGCACGTAAAATCTCACTGCCGTGGCATGAAATTTTAAGCGCCAAAGAATATAGTACAGTTATTAAATGTTTACGTACAGTATATTATACGTAAAACAACTATACAACAAAATAAAACTGCTTATAAATAATAGTTATTTCAACAAAACGTTTTTCTACGTTGTTTACTATGCATATAGTATATATATATGTCTAAAGGCAGTTTTGACGACATTTTGAAGTATAATTTGGCAGTTTTGACGACTATTGGCAGTTTTCACGACCGTCGTCAAAGGCACCGCGATATAAAGGCAGTTTTAACGACAGTCGTCAAATCTACCTTTATATGGCTGTATGCCTATATATATATATATATACATTCAGTAAACAATGTAGAAAAATGCTTGGTTAAAATATTTTCATATTTAAATGTTGTTATATTATGTATATCTGTGTTTTACATGTTGTACTGTTTAAAGCAATTAATAATTATATATGGTGTTTTTTTGCACGTAAAATCTCACTGTCGTGACATGAAATTTTAAACGCCAAAGAATATAGTACAATTATTAAATGTTTACGTACAGTATATTATACGTAAAACAACTATACAACAAAATAAAACTGCTTATAAATATATAATAGTTACTTCAATAATACAAAACGTTTTTCTACGTGGTTTACTATGCATATAGTATAAATATTTATATAAAGGTAGATATGACGACAGTCGTTAAAACTGCGTTTGTACTGCGATATGTTTGACGACGGTCGCGAAAACTGCCAACAGTCGTCAAAACTGCCTAGTTATACTTGAGAACGTTGTCAAAACTGCCTTTGGATAAATATATATTATATTATATTATATGTTTTTTAACTAAAATTTTTTTTGTATTTTTAATTTTTGTATAAGTTTCTAATTTTTAATTTTTTGTATAAATTTTTATTTATTTAGCGTAATTTTTTCAATATTATTTTCTTCAGTAATTTAAAAATACTGTTTTTTATTTAACTCTTCTTTACAAGACGCATGGACTTGGCGCCTTTTTTAACCTTGTTTTAAAAAGGTAATTTTTTATGGATTTCACTCTTTTTTGTAGTATATATTTATTTAAACATTTCAAAATAATGAAGTAAAGAACCTACCAACACCCTCATCATATTTCATCAAAATATAATGGTCC